TGACGGGCAGAGCATCTTCAAGTTAGCTGTAGCCAGCCAAACCTTCTCTCCGGGCCGAAACACCAGATCCCCTCTTCGCTTCCTATTAAAAGCCCTCTTGTAATCTTCTTGGGCCCGACTGATGGCTTCTTGTAGTTTTTTATTGTTTGACGCGAAAAAAGTTAGTGTATCCTGTGTTGCTGGAATTGGGCATTCCGGGACTAAATCCGGGAGGAAGACAGGGTGAAACCCATAATTGGAGAAGAACTGGGGACTGCCCTGTTGCTGAATGGCAAGCGTTGTTATACGCGAATTCCGCCAAAGGAAGAAGTGGCACCCAGTCGTCCTGAGAGAATGATGCGTAGCATCGCAAGTATTGCTCCAGGGTCTGATTGGTCCTTTCGGTCTGACCATTGGTCTGAGGGTGAAATGCCGAGGAAAGGGATAGCTTGATATCCAGGGCTTTGCACAATGCCCTCCAAAATCTCGAGGTAAACTGCACCCCTCGGTCGGAGACTATGTCTTCGGGGACCCCATGCAGTCTAACAATCTCTCGAATAAAGACTTGCGCCGTCTCGGCCGCCGATGGAGTCTTCCGTAACGGAACGAAATGGGCCATCTTGGATAAACGGTCCACGACCACGAGAATTGCTGTGTGGTCCAGTGAAGGTGGAAGCTCGACTATGAAGTCCATAGAGATCTTCTGCCAGGGCCGTTCAGGGATTGGTAATGGACGTAGCAGGCCCCACGCCTTATTTCTTGAAGGCTTGTTCCGCTGGCAGATGACACAGGAGCCCACGTAACTCTTACAATCCTTGGTCATGTCTGGCCACCAGAAGGAACGTCGGAGAAGTTCCAGGATCTTGACCGGGCCAAAATGTCCTGCCATCGGGTGGTCATGGCAATGTCCCAAGACTAGGGTTCGGGCTTCCTCCGGCGCCACGATCCGGTCCTCCCTCCATAGGAGTCCCCCCTTGTTCTGGAGGGGCGCCCCATCGGAGGTAGACATGGCTGTGGACGATTTCATTATCTCGGAGCGAAGGTTGGTCTGGAGGGACAAGAAGTTTCCTGCAGGCAGAATAGTGTCAGGTACTGGGATCTCATTGGTGTCCTCGTACATGCGTGACAACGCGTCTGGCTTCGTGTTTTTTGATCCCGGCCTGTATGTGATGTGGAACTGGAACCTCAAGAAAAACAATGCCCATCTTGCCTGTTGTGGGTGCAAACGTTTGGCAGTCCTCAGATATTCCAGGTTCTTGTGGTCCGTGAATATCAGAATGGGGTGTGAGGCACCTTCCAGCAGGTACCTCCATTCTTCTAATGCGGTCTTGATAGCCAGTAGTTCTCGATCCCCAATGTCGTAGTTCTTCTCCGCAGGGGTAAGTTTCCGTGAGAAGAATGCTACTGGGTGAAGTAATTCCTTGGCGCCCTTTCGCTGGGAAAGAATGGAGCCAACCGCGTTCTCCGACGCATCTACTTCTAAGATGTAGGGCAGGGAGGCGTCAGGATGACCCAGAATGGGTGCCGAGGTAAATAACTTCTTTAACGCTTCAAAAGCTTCCTGTGCCTCTGGCGTCCATCTGAATTGCGTCCCAAGCTTGGTTAGTTGAGTGATGGGGGAAACCAGACCCGAGAAGTTCTTGATGAACTTCCGGTAGAAGTTTGCGAACCCGATAAAACGTTGGACGCTTTTCCTGTCCGTGGGTTCAGGCCAATCTAGGATCGCAGAGACCTTCTGAGGGTCCATTGCGACCCCCGTGGTGGAGATGATCAGGCCCAGAAATGTAACGCTAGCCTGTTCAAAGCAACGTTTCTCTGCTTTAGCGTACAACCCATGCTGCCGCAACCGCCCCAAAACCTTTGTTACATGTACCCTGTGCTCCCCCAGGGAGGATGAGAAAATCAAAATGTCGTCTAAGTAGACGATGACAAAGATGTCCAGGAAGTCCCTAAAGATGTCGTTTACAAAGTGCTGGAAGGTGGCCGGCGCATTGCACAACCCGAAAGGCATGACCAGGTATGCAAAATGGCCGAAACGGGTGCGGAAGGCCGTTTTCCACTCATTCCCCTCCCTTATGCGAACCAAGTTGTAGGCTCCCCTTAAGTCCAGACTGGTAAATACTACTGCAGCCTTTAAGCTCTGGAATAATTCTGGTACCAGTGGTAATGGGTAACGATTCTTGATTGTGACCCTATTCAGTTCCCGATTAGTCAATACATGGCCTCAAGGTCTTGTCCTTTTTTTCTACAAAAAAGATCCCTGCACCTGCTGGAGAAGTGGAGGGACGGATGAATCCCTTCCGGAGACTGTCCTCAATAAAATCCTTCAGGGCCCCTAATTCTAGTTCAGAAAGGGGAAAAATTCGCCCGAAGGGAATTTCAGAACCGGGTAACAGATCAATCGGACAGTCATATGGGCGGTGGGGGGGTAGAGTATCCGCTCCCCGTTCACTGAACACATCAAGAAACTTATGATAGGCTGCCGGAATCACTTGTTTCAGGCTGGCATCCCCTTCGGAGCACAGGAGGACCTGAGGGACCTCCGGGCCCGAAGTTCGGCACAGTTCCCGACAGCATGGGGAAGGGAACGAGACAACCCCAGTCTCCCAGTCAATTTGGGGGTTATGGGCCCACAACCATGGGAGCCCCAGAATGACTGGGAAAAGGGGTGATGCAATCGCATCTAGGCGGAGGAGCTCCCGGTGTTGACCGGCAATGGAAGTCACAATGGAAGGGGTCTCCTGGTTAACCACTCCCTGACTTTATCCGGGAACCATCAGCCAAAAAGATGTGAAACCCCTTCTCCTTTTGACGGAGGGGGATACCCTGCCGGTGGGCAAAATTGATATCCACAAAACAGCTGCATGCCCCCGAATCAACTATGGCTGTCACCTCCACGGTCCTTTCTGAAAGCTGAAAGGAGAGGGGGACAACTAAGTATTGGGATGGATTCATATTGCCAATAGATAAAGAAGATGAGGTGAACTTACTCAGTTTCTGCGGGCAGGAACGTACCATGTGACCAGCTTCACCGCAGTAGAGACACAGGTTCTGGGAGCGTCTGCGCTGGCGTTCCTCTGGCGGTAGTTTAGGCCGTGCCAGGCCTAGCTGCATGGGTTCGGGAGCATCTTCGATGGCTGGTTCTGAATGTTTGGCCTAGTATGTTGACTAGATCCTTGGAATGACCCCCAGGTATTTCCGCGACCCTGACCAGACCTCACCAATCTGCGCTCTCGTAGCCTGCGGTCAATTTTAATGGTGAGTGCAATCAAGTCCTCTAATGTCTCGGGCACCTCCACCCGGGCGAGCTCGTCTTTCAGAGCCTCAGATAGGCCCATACGGAACTGGTGCAAAAGCGCAAACTCGTTCCAGCGAGTGTCTCCCATCCAACGCCTAAAGTCAGAGGCGTATTCCTCAGCCGCTCGCCGACCTTGTTGGAGTACGTATAATGTGGCCTCGGCCGAGGCCGCCCGTTTGTGGGTCATCATATAAGATGGCCATAGCATTAAAAAAAATTGTCAACCGTAACCAGATGGGGGTCATTATTTCCCCTTAGTCGGTGGGCCCAGTCTTGGGGTTCACCCTGCAACAGGGAGATAACAAACCCTACTTTCACCGATTCCGTCAAAAAGGTCCATGGTTGTAGTTCAAAATAGAGCAGACAGGAGTCACGGAATGACCGAAAGCGTGTGCGATCCCCGTGGAAGCGCTCGGGTAAGGGTACTCGAGGTTCCGCCATAGGGAGTGATGCGGAAGGCCCAGGAGCCGGCTCGTGGGCTGCTGCGACCGGGGGTGCAGGAGCCGGGGCCTGTGAAACAGGAGCAGATATGGTGCAGGCCTGAAACCGATTCTCAATCTGCAAACATCTGTCCTGTAACATGTTTACTGCTTGCGTCAGGGTAGCCAGGTGCCTGCAAACCACCTCCATCGGGGAGGGTCCTCCTTGAGGCTCAGTCATGGCCTTCTGGTACTGTGAGGGACCGCCGGACGGCACCACTAGCACTCCACTGGTCAGGCGCGCCCAGAGCGCGGAGTCTAAGCCCCAGGGTACTTGTTCACCAGGCCCCTGATGGTGGGGATGGACTTGTAGTACCCCGGGACCAGGTCGCCACTACTGAGCACACCTGTCAGTGGTAGGGGTGTTCGCCAGGGGCTCCAACCAGGGAGAGCCAAATGTAAGGAGGTCGGGTGACCCCGATGGGATGGATGGCTGAACAAGTGCAAAGTCAGACAGGCCGAGTTGGTAACGTAGAGGGCGGTAAGGTACAAGGGAGCAGGCAGAGAATCGTCGGGTCACACGCCAGGTCAGCAACAGTAGGTCAGATCTAATGAGGGGCATTCAGGAAGAGAGGTCAGGCAAAGCAAGGGTCTGGGCAGGAGAAATCAGCAGGTCAAGAACAATCCGGGTCAAATAACTTACAAGGCACAGGTTCAGATTCGCAGGATACAAGTAGGACCAGAAGGCACTGAAATGACAGCACAGGGACATTTAAATATCCCGCGCTGCGCTGCCATTGGTGCCCAGCGGGCGGCCGCGGCTTCTACTGCGCATGCACAAACTCGAACGCCGCGGCCGGCCCGGAATTAGTGCCCGTGTCCCCGCACAGGGCGGTGCAGTGCGCCTGCGCCGGGACCATCGGGGCGGGGATCGGGGGGATCCCTGACAGCAGGTGTGCACATCTTGTCCATCCTAGTCAGGGCGCAAAAAAGTCAACTTTTATAACCTAAATCTTAAAAAAAAAAAAAAATTGCACCAACTGCTCAGCCCCTGCAATGCTAGTTTGTCCTAACCCGTCACTTTTGCTTGATGGCTTGGTCTACATATAACTGTAGAGAAATCATATTAAAATTGAACATTTATATTTAAAAAAAAAATGGGACTTGTTAGTCTTACATGTGTCTAATGTCTTCGTTGCTAATGACCTTTGTAATCATTTATTGAAAAACTATGAAGACATTGCAGGCATTTTTTTATCAATAGCCAGAGTTTATAAATGTTTTGTTTCTTTATATGCAGATGATGGCCATGAAGTCCAACCTGGTGACGCTAGCTGAGAATACTCCAATCAGTAGTTCAGAGGTAAAGCCAAGGCTTAAAAAGTTATTTGCTTTTAGTTATAAAGAGATTATGCACGTTGATGTAACTAATAACTGTAGCATCACCTAGTAGTGGGGCTTTCACCTTCACATTAATAGTTGACTGCTGCTTGAGACCCCCCAAGTGTAGCATCCATCCAGGAGCAGTACAAGACAAACAAAACTCATCCCAGTTGTTGTTCTGAAACTACTATGGCTTCTTTTTGAACTTGTTTCCTGATTGAATTATTGTATGTTGGAATAAGGATATACAGTGCATCCATAAAGTATTCACAGCGCTTAACTTTTGCCACATTTTTGTTATGTTATAGCCTTATTCCAAAATGGATTAAATTCCTTTTATTCCATACATTGAAACTGTTCATAGTCTGGGGATAGGATCCGGTGCAAGGGGGAGAGGGGGGAGGAGCCTGAACATGGCGGCACAGGAGAGTGTGGAGTAAGCACTCTCCGTTAACCTTCCCCACCTATCCTCCCTAAAGTGTCTTGGATGATTCTAAATAGCTGTGCTGGAGGGCGGCAGGAGACTAACCTGTATGGAAGGGGGGTCCCGGCGGTGATGTGGTGGTTTGACCGGAGTGAGGCGACGAGGTTCCCGTCCCCCTGAGACTTGACAGCGGTAGTGGCGGAGGAAGCGTAGGGTTGCCAGGCAACGAAGAGAGGCGGCGTGACCACCTGGGTTGCCACGGAGGAGTGCTGGGAGAAGGAGAAGCCGGCCGGCGTCCTAGGGAGCCGGTGAAACGCCGGCTTTCGTCCCTAATCTGTTCCCAGGGGACTCGGGGGTAAAGAAAAAGGGGCCCAAAGGAATCCCCCTAAAGAGAGGATACGGCCACAGGAGACCAGACAACAAAGGATTGCAAATGTGGAAGCCGCTCCATAGAGGAGGGTGAGTGAAAGCTACTAGTCTTATGTGCTGGTATTTCTGACTGTGTTATAATTTATTGAATGAGATACCTAGTTTAAAAAGGAAGAAGGGGATTCCTAGAGAGGGTCTGAAGGTGTGGAAGAGAAAAGGTTATTGCCTGGCCATAGAAAAAGAAAGGAAAGTGAAAAAAAGTCCCATAAGCGACATGAAAGGCAAAAACATTAAAAGGAGTGGGCCCAAGAATTCCCAAACTGGTACGATTTAAGAAGTATACGTCACGGGAATTTGACTCCAGAAAGAGCTCAAGGAGTAATTGAAAAGAGTGAACTGGAAATAAGTATGGATAATAGCTCGAGATCGTCCCTGGGATCGGTTAATAATAGTCAACAAATAATGGAAGTAATGGAGCTGAGAGAAACTGAAAAAGAACTGCAAATACCAAATAAAAAGGAAATGGCGGAGATGTTTAAAATTTTGGAAAAATCAATAAAGCAAGAGATGGGAATAATTCGGAAAGAAATGGGGCAGTTGTTAACTAGAGTGGAAGAAATGGAGGAAAAAGTTAAATCATGCCCAAATCATTCCAAAATTAGAGAAATGGATAATATCAGGAGAGCACAAAAAAGACTGCTTTATATGATGGAGGATCAAGAAAATAGGGAAAGGAGACATAACCTTAGAATAAGAGGAGTCCCAGAGCTGTTACAGGGCGAAGATTTAAAGGAGACAACATGTAAAGTTTTGAACTCCATAATGGACAGATCTGTGGCGGAGATGTTTAAATTGGATGGAGAGTATAGGATAGGGAAGTTTCAACAAGAAAAAGGCTCAGAAAAATCAAGAGATATAATTGTTCAATTCCATAATTATGGAGACAAAGAGGAGATATGGAAGAAGATTAAAGGAAGAACAAATATTAAATATGGAGGAAAAAATATTCAAATTTTCGCAGATTTAGCAGCCGGGACATTGAGAAGAAAGATCATTGAAACCCCTACTAGAATTGTTGAAAAAGCATAATGTGCAATATAGATGGGGTTGCTCAGCTTGTTTAATTGGATGGAGGAATGGAGTCACAGCATTTCTAAGATATCCTGAAGATATGAAAGACTACTGTGATAAATTTGAACTGCAGCAAATGGAGATACCGGGATGGGAAGAGGAGGAGGGAGAGTCTTGCGCTTTGGGAAAGGAGGAGTGGCAGCTAGTTAGAAGGGAAAAAAAGAGAGTTTATAGATAGAGAGACACTGGGGAGGAGGGTGGGGGAAGGTGAGCGGTACATGGTTGGAGCAAAACCCCAAGGTTGGAATCAAAGGTGGGACTTTTACCACAAATAATTCATAGGCAAATAAGAGGCCTAAGGGGGGGGGGGATGGGAGTGGGTTGGGATATGGGTGTTGGGGGGGGGGGGGTGTATTAGGGGTAACACTCTGCGGAATAAGAGGAGATGGTAGAGGAGTGGAAGAAGAAAGAAGTTAAGAGGTGTAGGGAAATATGGAAGAAGTCCAGTTTGTAACTTATAATGTAAAGGGGTTGTGTAGTTCTGGGAAGAGATTTAGGTTGTTTAAAGAATTGCAACACAGAACATCTTCTGTGGTTTTCCTACAGGAGACACACGTAGGGATTGAGTCAAATGTTAGGCTGAAGACTAGATATTTCCCGGTATGGTATTATGTGGATTCACCAATTAAAAGAGCAAAAGGGGTAGCCATAGGCTTTGCAAAGAATATAAGGTTTGAGTTGGAGAAGAGAATAACGGATCCAGATGGAAGGTATTTGTTTTTGAGGGGTAAATTGCAAGAAATTGAGTGTACAATATGCAGCATATATTGCCCAAAGAAGAAACCGGAGGGGAGTATTGAAGAAGTTGATGGATTTTAAAAGGGGCTGTCTGACAGTGACTGGAGACTTTAATGTTTGTATGGACCCGCGGATGGATACTACTTCTTCTGTGAGGAAGGAGGAAAGCGGGTTCCTGAGATCATTAAAGAAATGGATGCATGAATGCCAATTGGTGGATATATGGAAAATTGGGCATATGAAAGAGAGAGATTATACTTTTTTCTCAGACATACATGTGACTTATTCTAGATTGGATTATATACTGGTAGAACATCGATTTATAGAGTCTGTGGTGGAAGTAAAAATTTAAGTAAATTCTTTATCAGATCATGCCCCGGTTGCAATGAAGTCAAGATGGGGCAGAGAGGAGAGAGGAGGCTTAGTTTGGAGGATGAATGAGGCACTCCTTCTGGATCAAGAGATCAATCGCAAGATTGAGATGGAAATTAAACGATTTTTTGAGGAGAACGATACAGAGGACGTGTCGGTTGCTACGGTGTGGGAGGCCCATAAGGCCTACATTAGAGGACTACTTATTGCAATAGGGGCAAAAAAGAAAAAAGGAGGGAAAAGATCAACGGACTTCTAAGTGAAATATTCGATCTTGAACAGGCTCATAAAAGGAAAATATCTAAGAAGATAATGCAGAAAATAATAAAAAAGAAAGAAAGACGAATTAGAGAATGTGATGGAAGAGGAAAAAAGAAGAGCCTTTAATAAAGTAATAAGTGAAAGGTATAGATGGGGAGATAGGCCGGGAAAGTTTTTAATGCGAGCCCTAAGGAAAAAGAAAAATATTAATTATATAGAAAAAATAAGAAACCCCAAGGCTGAACTGGTTCACTCAAGTAAAGACATTGCTAGAGTATTCAAGGAATATTATAGTAAGCTGTGTAAGATCATACCCCAGGATACTTTAAATAAAGTTGAAATAGTAAATCGAGAAAAAAGAACATACTTAAAAAACGCAGGTCTATTAAAATTGAATGAAGTACAATTGAACTCCCTAGAATCAGAAATTACGTTAGAGGAAATAAAAACAGCATTAAGGAAGAACATGGATAGATATAAAGGGAATATGGGTAGGAGATAGAGAACATAAGGTGGCGGCCTATGCGGATGACTTGTTGTTCTATGTTGAAAATCCTAGGATATCACTTCCAAATCTAATGAGGACATTGAAGAAATATGGGGAATTATCAAATTTAAAAATTAACCCGACAAAAAACGAAATCTTAAATATAAACCTTAAAAACAGTGAAAAAGAAAAAATACAAGAGTATTTCCCCTTGGTTTGGAGAGAAAAAGAATTAAAGTATTTAGGGGTAAAAATGAATAAATCTCAAAATACTTCTAATAGCTTTTATTTCCATACACACAAATGCATTGGGAACACTACGTATTCTATTCCAAATCAAAACATGAAGAAAAATATATCAAATTTGTGTTGTTCCTCTAATAAAATTTGAAGAAAAGTGAATATTAGACTGTTCAAAAAAATAGCAGTGTTTGTATTCTTCTTTATAAACTCAAACATTCACTATATAAACTGAAAAAATGTTTGAAGATTTTGCTTTCCTTTGAATCACTTAATTAATATTTTGTTGTATAACCACTGTTTCTGAGAACTGCTGTACATCTGTGTTGCATGGAGTCAACCAACTTCTGGCACCTGTGAACAGCTATTCCAGCCTGGGATGATTGAACTACATTCCACAGTTCTAATCTATTTCTTGGTTTTGCCTCAAACTGCATTTTTGATGTCACCCCACAAGTTTTCTATTGGATTAAGATTCGGGGATTGGGCTGGCCACTCCATAACGTCAATCTTGTTGTCTGGAACCAAGATGTTGCACGTTTACTGGTGTGTTTGGGGTCGTTGTCTTGTTGGAACACCCATTTCAAGGGCATTTCCTCTTCAGCATAAGGCAGCATGACTTCTTCAAGTATTCTGATGTATTCAAACTGATCCACGATCCCTGGTATGCGATAAATAGGCCCAACACCGTAGTACCAGACACATCCCCATATCATGATGCTTGCGCAGCCATGCTTCACTGTCTTCACAGTGTACTGTGGCTTGAATTCAGTGTTTGGAGGTCATCTGACAAACTGTCTTCGGCCACTAGACCCAAAAAGAACAATCTTACTTTCATCAGTCCACAAAATGTTGAACCGTTTCTCTTTAAGCCAGTCAATGTGCTATTTGGCAAATTGTAGCCTCTTCAGCGCATGTGTTTTTTTTTTCAATAGTGGGACTTTGCAGGGGCTTCTTG